TGTTAAAGGCCGAGCTGAAGTCCACGAACAGGATCCTCACATAAGTCCCTGGTCTGTCTAGATGTTGCAGAACATAATGCAGTCCCATGTTTACTGCATCGTCCACAGACCTGTAGCTGTAGTTAGTGGCGTAATCCATTACGTTACACATTTTAGGTAATATAATCAGACTACTTTTTGATTATTTTTGTCCAAACTCGTTTATCACAGTGATTTAAATTGGATAACCGTGTACCGTATTGATATACAATGCAAAGAAAATATATTAAATTCATTGTTATTGACAGCATGAGTGCATTAAACATTACATTATGTCAAGGTTTCCCAAACTGGGGTTCGTGAAGGAACTGCAGAGGGTTTGTGAATTAAACGAAAAGCAAATAATTAAGTCATAAAAATGTAAAATTAAAAGAAATAATTTAAAATAATATCAATCAAACTAAAACACTTACTAAAAAATGAACTATTTGATTTGTTTGTCTGCATGCCATGTGAGCATTAACCAACGTGAGAGGACCGTGAACATGCAAATGTGTTACTGAATTATTAACTTATTACCTTTAAATATCAGGGACGCTTCAAGTAAATATATTAGCTGAAAGAGGTTCAGATGACAAAAAATGTTTTGGAATTCCTGCATTACATGAAAATAAGAAAAAAACATGAATTTCAATGTGTTTAAAAGACGAAAGCCTTCCAAAAACATGTGGTTAAATAACCAAATAATTTAAAAAAATAATAAAAATGAATGTGTTCATCAGTAGCTGATGCAATGTTGAAATGCTGAGAAAACGCATATTAAAACTGAAGTGATTTCTGTAAATCCAGTGCTCAACTGCTGTGTGTGGTCTGTTTTATATCACCTGACTAGTGACTGGTCTCTGTGTGAATGTCCACAAAACTGGAAGACTTTCTGAATGTATATAAGCGGTAGGCTATTTTAGAAAGGAACATTTACAAGATGGAAAAGAGGAATTAGGCAGAATCAATCAATTCTGAATAATTTATTGCTATTGTGTGAATAATATGTACTCATGTAATTAATAAAAAGTAACTGTAGTCTGATTCAGAGTATTTTAAAATGTTACACTCAAGTACTTCAGTTTCTCCCATTCATAGGAATACAAGGAATTTTTTTTTATCATGTTTTTCCAAACTAAAGCAGAGGTTCTTCACGCAGCTCTGTTCATTACTGACTACTGAGCTGTTTAAATTCCAGTGTCGCATTGATGCAGAAGTTATATTATGTTGCTGCAATATTCAGCTTGATTGACGGAAGACCCTCGTTCTGGGCTCTACAGAATGGTGTGTGAGCTGTAAGGTGAGTGAATAGCATCATGAAGGAGCTCACGGCTGCGTGAAGCTGGGGGAATCAGCAGATCGCTGTATTTTTAGCGCCTCTGCTCGCTGATATGGGATTTGGCAGCCTGTTGGTCTGATCAACTCAATTAAAGCGGCTCAGTGGAAAGCATGAAGGCATCCTGAATGTCTTCCAGTGCTGTTAATTGGTCACTTTGAAAGATATCAGTGTGCAAATGCAGTGGAGTGCTGATAAGAGCAAGGCAAATATTGACCGCTGTTATCCTGTATCGCAGCTGCGCTGATAAGAGCCGCTTCTGTTTGATCATCTCGGGTTCAGGGCCCGATGAAGCTTTAGTTTGTGTGTGTTAATGCGTTCTGTGTCCCAGCTCATCTTAGAGGCGTCTAGGATGTCTACCAAACTGGCATCAGACGAAGACACGATCAGGCGCGGGGTTTCGCTAGATGGCCATCTGCCAAAACATTGAAAACAATTGTCATTATAAACATAACATTCTCATTTTCCACTAGATATTTTCTTCTTGATCTCATCAGCAATTTGAGAGCATCCGATGAGCGTGTGATTGCAGCAGGTAGCCTACCGTTAGCTACATTAAACGTGCTTCAGTTAAACAGCTAAAGCTATACTTCCCTTGTAATGACTTGCAATGAGAAGCGTTTCTAAAACCTGTTGTCCAAACTGGCATCAGACGAAGACACGATCAGGCGCGGGGTTTCGCTAGATGGCCATCTGCCAAAACATTGAAAACAATTGTCATTATAAACATAACATTCTCATTTTCCACTAGATATTTTCTTCTTGATCTCATCAGCAATTTGAGAGCATCCGATGAGCGTGTGATTGCAGCAGGTAGCCTACCGTTAGCTACATTAAACGTGCTTCAGTTAAACCGCTAAAGCTAAACTTCCCTTGTAATGACTTGCAATGAGAAGCGTTTCTAAAACCTGTTGTCCAACAAAAGAGAGCATTATAACATGCCTTTACTCCACCGCCGGACCGCAACCGTGTGCAGTGAACGCTTTAATCCATTAACATGAGCGTGGAAAAAATACGCACCATGTTTGCACTACAAATGGAGTAATGTGAAGCTGGCGTTATGTGTGTGCTCTGCGAGTGTGCATGAGCGCTGGTCTCCAAAATCTTCACTCTGGGCGACTAAATGATGTCTAATATCAGCCAATGGCTAATCAATTCTCAGATTTTACTCGCCAGTGTGTGAGTTGGAGGCTAAGTATAAGTTTAGCACAGATATACTTTTACTCGCCGAACACTCTCTGACGGAGCGCTTCAGAGTTTCTCTCTCCGTCAAGCGATCTGATATTTTTCAGTTCAGCTGAATGGATGCGCAGCGCTCATGTGTTTGTGTGTTTGGCGTAACGTAAACTCTAGTGTGAAGCGCACGACTCGCCGACGCTTTCTCTCACACACAAGCAGAGAGAGAGAATTGATGCACTACATGTAAACGATATTCTTTGTTGTATTTTCCTGTCAAAATAACGGAGTTCCTTTGGAATTCTTCTGCTTTTAAGAACTGCTGGTTTCTCCGGTAGTGGGCGGAGCTAATGCGCAAACGGCAATCTCATTGGCTGGTGCTCACTTATTATCGTCCCTGTTGTGATTTCAGCAAATCAGTTCGAGCGAACGCACACAACCTGATTAATATTCATGAATCCAGCAGCTCGTTAATCCTTAGTGCATTTTATATTGTTCTTATTAGTAGAATTCGTATTCGATTTTTTTTTTTTTTTTACAGAAACACAGAATATATCAAATTATAATGCATGACTGACTGATGTTAAGAGTGTACTTTCAGATATTTAAAAAAAGCACTGGCATTTTACAAACATATATATATATATATATATATATATATATATATATACTAATCAACATCTGAAGTGGATCAAAACCTTTCATCAAAGTTAACCTAAAACCAAAGTGCGTTCTTGTCTTAGGACATCGTTGATTAACTTTTTTTGATCCACTTCAAATGTTGACTACTATATCTATATATATATATATATATGTATGTATCTCAGTCTGGCGAGTAAACTAAAAAATGTACTAGCCAATGACGATTCAATTGCCACGGTGTCCGTAGAGGGTTGGCAATATATAAACTTATAAAATAGTGACGATGTGACACTGTCTCGATTGTGCAGGTGATAATTCCTGTGTCAACTGTGCAGCGTGCAGCTCGCTTATAGACAGACGCGATGTGGTGATTCAAAGCCATTTGCGCATTTTGAGAGAGAAAGAGTTTGTGAAATTACGTCTCACACAAGGTTTTCAAATTAGTTTTAATTCTAATTCCTAAAGTTCTAACATTAAATAATATTGATTATCATATTATAATGCTTGACTGACTGATGTTAAGAGTGTACTTTCAGAGATTTAAAAAACTGGCATATATATATATATATATATATATATATATATATACTAATCAACATCTGAAGTGGATCAAAACCTTTCATCAAAGTTAACCTAAAACCAAAGTGCGTTCTTGTCTTAGGACATCGTTGATTAACTTTTTTTGATCCACTTCAAATGTTGACTACTATATCTATATATATATATATATATGTATGTATCTCAGTCTGGCGAGTAAACTAAAAAATGTACTAGCCAATGACGATTCAATTGCCACGGTGTCCGTAGAGGGTTGGCAATATATAAACTTATAAAATAGTGACGATGTGACACTGTCTCGATTGTGCAGGTGATAATTCCTGTGTCAACTGTGCAGCGTGCAGCTCGCTTATAGACAGACGCGATGTGGTGATTCAAAGCCATTTGCGCATTTTGAGAGAGAAAGAGTTTGTGAAATTACGTCTCACACAAGGTTTTCAAATTACTTTATAAGTTATTTAATGAAGAAATATCAGGTGAGTACCTCATCTTCAGCATTATAATGATTTCACCCGCGCCGGACAGAGACAGAGACGGCGTCATCAGCTTGAGATCGGGATTTTGAGATCTGCCTTTTTAGAGACCGCCGATCAATCATCCCAACGTGATTATCGGCTGATAGTTATCGGTAGCCCATCAATCGGAGCACCCCTAATAATCATAATACATATGCACTTATCTGTACATAGTAAATGCACCTATTTTTAAGCGGTTGTTGACATCGTATCTAAAACGTGATTTATATGCATGCTATCAACATTTGAAAAAGTTATTAAAAGTAGTAATCAATTAAATGTTCTTTAACATTTAATGAATTATTAAATATTATTGGGAGCAACGGTGTCCTTTTCCTTCTTTGTGCATGCTTTGTTTAACATTTGAAGTGTCTTAAATGGGACACATCACGTTTTTAATTCATTTTTAAATCCTTCTTTTTCCCCTAAAATCCACCTATGATGTTATGACGTTGTTTCATTAGTCATAATTTATTCTTGAATGATTATGTTCCACCCTCACGATGAACCGTAGGCCTGTGGCCTGAGTGTAAATGCAGACGTGAGCAGCTGGTTAACGCTGGTCTGCTGGAAACTAGCCTCTGGTTGTGTTTGTCAAGACTGCTGAGAGGAAGTTTCACTTTATATTGATTGTGTAATGAACTCTGATCTGTCCATTTGACCCTCGTGAGCTTTGAACAGGACACATGCACGTCTCTGATCTGCAGAAATGGTTTATTTAAAAGCTTTGTGTGTGTGTGTTCTCTCTGCAGATCGGTTTTATGACGGTGACGCTCTTCCCCATCCGGCTCTTCATAGCGGCGTTCATGATGCTGCTGGCCTGGCCGTTTGCCTTCATCGCTTCGGTGGGCCGCTCCGAGACAGCGGTGGAGCCGCAGTGCTTATGGAGAAAGTAAAGAGCTGCTCTGCTTCACTTCAGCTGACAGTAACACTACAGCGAGAACCGCTCAAGACAAAGAGCCTTTATTACTCGCTCAGATTCACAACACGTCTTGCCATATTCCCATCACTCATCTGGCTGTAGTGTTTATAGTTTGTCTGTGGTGATGAATTTGACATCAGATCCTCTATTTCATAAATCAGGAAGTTGCTGAGAGATCCGATGTTCAGTATGAGAGCAGCGCAGCACAATCACAGCAGAACAGCTTCTGTTTCTGCCACCCGATGCAAATAGAAGAAAAGCGTTTCAAACGAGGCCCGCCTTAAAGGGGTCGTGAACTGCCTTTTTAAATGTTGTACTGTTCTCTGAGGTCCTCTTGTAATGTTATCCAGATGTTTACATCAAAAACATCATAATTCAGAAGTAATAGGTTATTTTCTGTCCTGTTTTGACCCCTCATCAGAGCGCTCTGTTTGAATAGGTCTGGAGGATTGTAGAATCTGAAGTAAACGCCCAAATCATTCAGCACTAAAAAGATGATTTGCACTCAGAGTCATCTTTCATTTTATTTACACTGATTTAAAAACACATGTGTTTAGATGCACTCAGTGACTAACTCACCCTAATCGTTGTAGGAGTAGTTCTTTCCAGATAGAGCTGTTCAGGTCATCTGGTGAAAACCTCTGTATTTGTTCTGAATGGTGCGGCTCATAGATGTGGCCCAGATAGCACTAATCAAACAAAGCCAGCGCTGTGGTCTGACTGACGGTGGATGTGCTGGCTCTTCTGCAGGCTGGTGGACGTGGTGCTGAGGACCATCATGCGGGTCATGTGGTTTGCCGGCGGTTTCCATTGGATCAGCATTAAGGGCAGACAGGCTCTGCCCGCAGAAGCGGCCATCCTCACCCTCGGCCCGCACTCGTCCTACTTCGACGCCATTCCCGTCACCATGACCATGGCTTCTATCGTGATGAAAGCGGAGAGCAAAGACATCCCGGTGTGGGGCAGTAAGTCCTCTGCTCTGTTCTGCTCTTCTCATTCATTCATCATCTTCATCACTTCTTTCCTCATTTTGAAAATGTTGCAGATTTATAAAAAGCAATATATATGGGTCAAAGACGTTAAGATGTCCGCATCAAAATACATTTACAAAAGTGATTTTATGTCCATAGAAAGCACATTAAATGTAAGTAAAGTGTCTACTTGTAAGGTTTCAAATAAGTTTTTTGGAGGATAAAATGTCAAAATGTGGTTGAAATAATGTTACATTGTCATTCAGTGTAACACAATATTTATGTAAAAATTCAAACAACATGCTTATTCTGATGTGTACATATTAAAATACATTTAAAAAAAAATAAGGGAGCTTATTAAATTTGATGTGTTTTAAAAAATGATTACTGACAAATGGGCAAAACCTAGGATAGTGGCAAATTTTAAAAATGTAAAATTACAACTAATTAGTATTTGGGGTGAAAGTAATTAGTATTTTAATATGTCATAAATTGATTTTTGTTGTAAGTATGCCTGACAAGATTGTTACACTGAATGATATTTTAGTGGCTCTCTTCTGTAAATCAGGGAAAAATGTATGACATGTATTTTTTGGCTCGGAAAAACAAAATTGCAATTAAATTAAACAGAACTTTTTTTTCTTTGGAGGGGGGAAACAACAACAATTTACAGCAGTATTACACTTATTGTTTTTATGCTTTAACCCTTTTTTTCGTCTTTGACCCTTATAAATGTGTTTTAAGGAAGTATCTTCTGCTCACCAGTGCTGCATTTATTTAATCAGAAATACAGTAAAAACAGAAATATTTCTGATTATTATCAATGTTGAAAACAGTTGTTCTGCTCAATATTTTTGTGGACAGGGTTTCCGCAAGTCCTTAAAAGTCTTAAATTTAGTTGCATCAAATTTAAGGTCATAAATAGTCTTAAATGGTACAATAACGTCTTAATTATGATTTCAAGAGGTTTTAAATTTTGGGCGGTAAAGGCAAGAATTGCGATATAACTTAATGTGACGATTAAACTTCAAAAGACTTTATTTTATTTAATTGAATAAACATGAGATCTGCACAAAGTGCTGCCGTTACCGGTGAAACGCTGTATTTCTGCCGTGCTGACAGCGCCACCTGCTGGCAGAGAATTAATGTGCATTTTTTAATCACTCTGTCTGCTGTTTTTGTGCAGACCAATGTGAAAACCACCCATGTTTTTACACGGAGTTGTAAATGTGAACTAGTGGATTGACGAGAAGATAATGCATTATAAAAATTTAAACAGATAAGTAAAATATATTTATATGTTATTTAATTAATATAATGATTGATAATAATTGTTTAAATTAATATAATAATTTATCCCTTTGCTTAATCTATTTTCTTAAAAATGGTGTAAAGGCTGAAATGTGAAGTTTATTATTTTATAACACTTTTTCTTTTGGTGAAAAACTGTGTCTGAACTGTAAATCATGCTTTTTACAGTCATTTTACAGTTTAATATGTTACTAACTATAGACATTGCCCTATCCCGCTCATATGGTGTTCATTTTATTTGTGCAGATCTTAGAAAAGGTCTTAAATTTGAGCTTTAAAACCCTGTGTGGAAACTGTGATGCATTTAATTTTTCAGGATTCACAGATGAATAGAAAGTTCAGAAGAATAGCATTTATTTGAAATTGAATTTTTTTGTAACATTAGAAATGCCTTTACTGTCACTTTTGAACAATTTAATGCATCCTTACTGAATAAAAGTGTTGATTTCTAAATGTGTATATACTGTATATATATTTAGAGAGGGAGAGAGAGCTGATGCGACATTGATGGATCTCAATGGATGTGGCTGCAGCTGCATAATAATGAACACACAGGTGTCTTTCTCTCCTCTTTCAGGAAGACACTACTAGCTTATTATTAGTTTTGCTCAAGCAGCTGTGGTGTATATGGTTTTAGGGTTTATTAGTCTGACTGACAGGCGGCAGCCGCTCACATGACAGCGTTCGCATGAACTCCAGTCATTTAGATGACAAATGCCGCAGACTGCAAACTGTAGAAGGGTTTGTCACATTTAACCACGGTTTAGACAAGTTCTTCATGATGCAGCATTGAGACGATTAGGGTTGGGTACCGAAACCCAGTACTGATGTGGCACCGAGATGCACCTGTATGTAACCGGTATGTACTAGAACCGAATCAGAATGCAGATTTCAGTGCCTCATTTCGGCACCACTTAAATACTTGAGCGATCGATCGAAATATTTGTTCTCTGAAACGGACGTAAGGATCGCCGGCACCGCACGTGAAAAATAATTTCCCGACTGATAAAATGCACGTGAACTCGGAAAGTCGGAAAGCTCTAATAATACAAATCCAACACATCTTTGTAGTAACGAGAGTGTCCATGTTGTTTTCACATTCCGACTTAAAAGCACAACTCGGGAAATGAGAGCATAGAGGAGCGCGTGAATGCAGTAATTGCACTTGCTGTGATGGCAGCAGGTAGATACCGTTAGCTAGCTAAGCTAAACATTCTTAAATTAAAATGCCTAAAGCTTGGGTGACCAAACATCCTCTTTTCCCCAGACATGTCCTCTTTTTGGACCTACAAAAATCTGCTGAATCCCCGCTGAATCTCTGACCATTGCCGCCGGCTCCCGCAACATGTGTTTCGCTCCCGCAATTTTCGTGTCCACTCCTTTAAACATTCTAATATTGTATATAATTTTGGTGCATCAGGGAGCCGCTCTCAGGATGCGGTGTATTTCAATATTTTTGAATGAGCGTTTGCACCGTTTACTTTCACTTTCGATTTCGTGATCACACGCACTCTGTGTAAAGGGAGCACATCTTACAAGACACTCCAGCATGGTCTTGTCAGTCATCTCTCCTTATTCTCGACCTATGATCAGTCAAAGCGGACTCCGGTAGCTCTTGTTGGATGCAGGGTTGCCAAGTCCACGTTTTTCCCACAGAATTGGGCTACTTTTAAATTGTTGCCATGGGTTGATTTTCCCAAGTGGGTTAAAGGTTTGAAATATTGCATGAATTACCTTTGACTGAAATGCTTGTATTGAAACATTTAGCATTCTACCTATGATCAGTCTTTCATGGACTTTTACATTAACTGTTCCCTCCTGGTGGAACGACCTGCCCAGCTCAATCCAAGCAGCTGAGTCCTTAACCATCTTCAAGAATCGGCTGAAAACACATCTCTTTCATCTTCATTTGACCCTCTAACTCTAGCACTCTCTATTCTAATGCTACTTCCAATTTTATCTTCGTTTTTTTTTTTATTAAAAAACTTGACCCTCTAACATTTGCGCACTCTATTCCATTTCTATTCTAACGACTTGTTTTAGTTATAAAGAAAGAAGAGCCTCTAACACTAGCATTCTCTATTCTTTCTACTTATTTTATTTTTATTTATTATAAATAATGACCTTCTAACACTTTCCTTATCTATTCTTTTTCTGTTCTATTGACTTGTTTGATTTTTATTTAAAAATGACCCTCTAACACTAGCATTGCCTATTCTTTTTCTATTATTTCTACTTGTTTTCTTTTTATTTATTATAAAAACAAAATAAGCAAACAAACAAAACAAAAAAACCTTGCTACTTATACTGTTAAGCGAAGCCCCGCCCACGAACCCCGCCCCCTTCTGTCCTTTTTTTGAAAAATTTAAATACGGCCACCCTACTAAAGCTAAACTTCCCTTGTAATGACTTGCAACAAGAAGCGTTTCTAAACCTGTTGCCCAACAAGAGAACACTATAAAGTGTTTACCCCACAACTGCTTCCTTTTGTGATCTGATGTGGCTTCTTGTCATAGAATGAGGAAGAAGATATGCTCTATACTGTAAAAACATATGGTAAAAAGACTGTTGATTAGCAATGGATTATAAATGTACTTAATTATGATGAAAATACCAAAGATGGCTTGAATAACAGATAAACTATACATTGTCGCAGTCGAGTGTTTATTGTCTTTGTTTAATCATTCAAAACATTTATATCTTCAGTTTACTCCGTTACAGCGATAGCAATGCCTTTGTCCATATTAGCAAAGAGTATAGGGTTTTCCTGAGTCCTGTTACTTCTGTGATGCACATGTGGAGTTTCTGCCAGGCGCCCTCTGGTGTCCAGTATGACTGAAACACATAGTAAATGTGTTTATAGCGCTCAATAATAGCCAATGCATCCTTGATCAATAAAAGTATTTGTTTCTTTCAAACATACTGACCACAAAATGGCAGTGTAATTATAAGTCAAGATATAGTTATAATGCAATACATTTACAGTGTTTGGAAACAATTATTTTTCCATTCTAAATGTATTAATAATCATTTGTGATTCCACACTGCTCTGCAGATTATTAGAAGCTTATATGAAAATGTTCATTTCTTTTTTTGAATGTAGTACGTTAAATAAAGAATCATCCAAAAACAAAATGTTTACACATGAAGAATCTTAATGCACCTAAAACATCTTAATTTTCTTTATGCAATATATAACTGAATGTAGTGTATAATATGACCCAGAGTAGATTGACCCTATATCAGTAAACCCTGATCTGCGCCTCACAGATAATTCCTCATTCGTGTCGCTTGAATAGTGTCATATGTTGGTTATGTTCTGGAGAGTAAAAGAAGCTCCTGACCTTTAGACGAGCTTCGTCCGCCTGCGTTCCTGCATCAGTGTGTGAGCCTCTGAAACCTGTGTCTCTCCTCAGCTCTCATCAAATACATCCGGCCCGTGTTCGTGTCGCGCTCGGATCAGGACTCCAGACGGCAGACGGTGGAGGAGATCAAGAGAAGAGCTCATTCAGGAGGAGAGTGGCCGCAGGTACCGTCACGGAGACACGGATGTGATTGTCGTTTAAGGAAGTCTTTCTGTAACGGTGTGTATCAGCCTTGCACAGATCCACTCGGGTGAAACTTTTGAGTCTTCACAATCCGATGTGTGTCATTTGAACAAACGGTGACTTTTTAGAGAGACAAAAACTAACAGCACAAAACATCCCAGAATGAGTCAGATTCAGTAATGAGAGTGATGCTCAAGCTGTTGATTTCCCTCTAAAATTATGTCACTTCCTGCAGAATAATGGAGCGTTAAGGAAGTGACTTTTTTTATACAAATAGGATGGAAAGTGATATTGAAGACACCGGGAAATAAATATAAAAATAGGTCATCAATTTAAACACTGTTCCCAAGAAAATGTGTCATGTTTGAAACATTTTGATTAAATTAATAAAGAAGCAATCCTTGTAATATGTGTAATAAACTGTTAGTTTCTCGTTGTAACATGAACATCCAGTCAAATCAGAGCAGTGGAATGATTTCATGTTCACTTCACTGATGTGCGGAGGTTTTACAGATGTAAACATTATAGGTTAATTATTACAGTCATGTGTATGTTAGGTATTTTATCTTGCAGGATAAAATAATCAAAAAAAAACTAGATTTTTGTTTCTACAATTTGGTCTTTTTTCTTGCAATTCTGAATCTGTATCTCACAGTTCAGACTTGTCTTTTGCAGTTCAGAGAAGAAGAAATAAAACGTTTCGCACTTCTGATTTATGGCTTCTGCCACAGAATGAAAAGGGTGTTTGTGACTATCTCACAATTCTGACTTTTTTTCTCACAGTTGTGACTATTTTCTCTGAATTGCGAGCTTATGTTAGTTGATGTGTCACAATTCTGAGAAAAAAGAAAAAAAAAAGGTGGTGTATCAGATTAAAAAGTTGCAATTTCCATTTTTATTATTTTCTATCCCATGGCTGTAATTACATTTTTTTATTTTTTTACTTTATTTGAAAAGGGACCATGTACAATTTTAACATAAATGTTTCCATTTCATGCATTGTACGGAATTTAGCCAATGGCTAGTTTTCATCCGCGGTCCCTTGGGTGTATGACTGGGGACTTTGTGAGTTTGTAGTTCTCTTTAGATCAGTTCCTCAAGTGTGAGGTTCATTTCATGTGTGACTCTGTTGGTTTGGTGAAATGATGCATGATTGTCAACTGATCAGAAACTCTCTGTTTTCCAGATAATGATCTTTCCAGAAGGGACGTGCACCAATAGATCCTGCCTGATCACATTCAAACCAGGTGTGTGAGTTTATGTGTGTGAGTGTGTGTCTGTGTGTGTCTGTGTGTGTCTGTGTGTGTGTGTGTGTGTGTGAGAGAGAGAGAGAGAGAGTGTGTGTGAGTGTGTGTGTGTGAGAGAGAGAGAGAGTGTGTGTGTGTGAGAGTGAGTGTGTGTGTGTGTGAGTGTGTGTGTGTGTGTGTGTGTGTGTG